CATTTGCTTTAGCATCTCTATGCTGGAGAGCAAGTTTCAGTATCTCTTCTGACATCCTGGCACATAGTAGCAGATACTAACCAGAGTTGTCAGCTGCTATTATTATTATTATTAAAAATCCACCTTAGTATAATATTGGTTCCCCATTGAATAATATTTCATTCAATAAGCAGCATAGATACGGAACATATGTTTAATTTTTTTCAGGTTTATTTTTAGATTTTATTTATTTACTTACTTGTTTTTAGGTGTCATAGAGTCGGTTCTGACTTATAGTAACCTTATGCACAACAGAACACTGTGCAATCCTGTGCCGATCTTATAATGGCTGTTACACTTCAGCCCATTGCTATTGCCACTGCTGTACCAATCCTTCTCGTTAGAGGTCTCCCTTTTTTTCATTACCCTCCATTTTACCAAGCATCATGTCCTTCTCTATCAACTTGTCGCTCCTGATAATATTTCTAAAGTATGAGAGATGCAGTCTGGTCATCTTGGCTTCTAAGGAACATTCTGGTTGTACTTTTTCCAACACAGATTTGTTTGTTCTTAAGGCAATCCATGTTATTTTTAATATTCTTCTCCAACACCATTACTCTAGTGCATCAACTCTTCTATGTCACTTTTTATTCATTATCCAACTTTCACATGCATATGAGAATATTAAACATCCCATGGCTTGGGTCAGTCACACCTTAGTCCTCAATCTTTACTCTTGAACACACTAAAAAAGTCTTGTGGAGCAGATTTACCTAATGCAATACATCATTTGATTTCTTGACTGCTGCTTCCATGAGTGCTGATGGTTGATCCAAGCAAAATGAAGTCCTTGGCAACTTCAATCTTTTCTCCATTTATCATGATGTTATTTACTGGTCCAGTGATGAGGATTTTTGCTGTCTTTACATTGAGATGGAATCCATACCAGAGGCTGTGGTCTTTGATCTTCATTAGTAGTATTTTAAGTCTTGTTCACTGTCAGCAAGCAAAGTTATATCGTCTGCATATAGAAGGGCGTTAATGAGTCTTCCTCCAGTCCTGATGTCAGTTTCTTTATCATATAATCCAGATTCTTATGTTATTTGCTCAGCATACAGATTGAATAAATATGGTGAAAGGATATAACCCTGGCACACACTTTTCCTGATTTTAAACCCTTATTTTGTTCAAACACTGCCTCTTGGTCTATGTACAAGTTCCCAATTAGCACAATTAAGTGTTCTGGAATACTCATTCTCTGTAATGTTGCCCA